GAATTGAAAACGAACGCGAGAATCAAATCCCAATTTTTTTTGAATTCGAAAATAAAATGGTCAGGAGGGCTTGTTTACTTTGTGTAACTAGTTAAATTGTTTTTTACTTTGCACAAAAAAAAAAGCCACCATCAATGTTTCTTTGGAAAGCAGTTAATAATTCCTTGAGAATCGAAAGCAAAGCCAGCAAATCATATGCATCCTTTTTACCAACTGAACTTTTAATAGAAATTTTTAGACACATTGAGGATGGCGATTATAGAACCCTTTACTCTTGTATTCTAGTTAATAAACAATGGCATGATATTAATATTCCAGAATTATGGAGAAATCCATTCTATACTATTAAAAGCATTAAAATATTAATTAATTGCATATTAGTAGAAAATAATGATTTCTTAGAAAGGAATGACATTGAATTAGACATTAAAAAATTAGACAAACCACCATTATATAATTATGCAAAGTTCGCTACAGAATTGAATTTTAACAAAATTAGATACCTTGTCAGTTATTTACAAGAAGTATTAAGTAACTTTATTTTAAACCATTCAACAACTATCAAAAAACTTATAACAGTTAAATCAGCATGTGGTTGGTTAATTAATCATCATAGGTTTGAAACTTGTTTTCAGAATCTTTATGAACTTAATTTTAGTTTTTCAAATAATCCTGAATTCCTTAATAAATTGGCACACGTTTGTAAAAATATCAAAGTTTTAACAATAGAATGTAACGGTTCTTATTTATATAACGTTGATGACGATTATAGTCTATCACAACTAATTAAGTCACAAAAGCAAATCAAACACTTGAGCATTAATGATAATTCACGCAATATGCACACCAATTTTTTAAATTTATCAGATGAACTCAAAAAGGCAATTTCCATTCATTCACAATCAATGGTTAGCTATTCTAGCATCAAAGAAAATAATTTAGATTCTTTGATACCAAGATTCCAAAATTTAAAATCTTTATCATTAAAAAATTGCAATAACAAGTTGAATAATTTAAAATCTACTTTACTTCCAAATATTCAACAAGTATATTTAGAAATCAAATTTCACTCGTTAATATCAGATTTATCATCTTTCATTAAAATAAATGGATATACTCTTAAGGATTTGACATTTGGTGGTACTCTAAATGGTGAAGGATATTTGGGAGATTTGATTCAATCAATTGGCCAAAATTGTCAAAATTTAGAACATTTATCAACCTTATACAATGTCAGGATAAATCGAGAATTAATTGAATTATTTAATAAATGTAATAAATTAAGAAGCGTTAGATTTAATAAATGTTATTGGCTTGAAATATTGGATGGTGATGAGATATTAACAGTATTAAATCAATCGTTGCCAAAAAATTTAAAATCTATAATTTTTAAGGATAAAGTTACTATTTCTGATAATTCACTTGAAATTTTAATGAAGAATTGGAATGGACCTATACCTTTTACGTTAAAATTTTATAGATGTAATATTAATGATAATATTAATAATAACAATTTATTAATTAATTTATTGAGAAAATATAAAAACCACGGATTTATAAATTATGAATATTTATAATAAAAGGTTAGTTTGTCAATATTAGAAATTAATTAAGACAACAATTGTTATTAATATAATGACTAATTAATAAGCTTATATTGTAATATTTACAAATCTGCGATATGATGAGAAGAAAGTGGAGCGAATATGATAGAGGAATGTTTAAAAAATACTTGTAATAAATAAACCTCACATCTCAATTAATTCAATAAATCAACTAACTATTAACCAACTCGGAAAAGGTGGATTGAATTGAGCGAGTGTGAGAATCAGAATTAGAACGAAAGAAAAAAAATGGAAGAAATTATTTTCTGAATAAAATAACAACATATAAAATTAAATGAATATAATAACAATTAAAAAATAAAATATTATCATTATTTCAATTTTTTTACCACCAATAGACGTTTCATATTTGGATCAAGTTTTCCCCCATATATCGTTCATAAATTTTTTTTTTGCTGAATTCACCCATTTAAAAGAAGATAATTATTTAATTTTCATGATGTTTGGCAATTTCAAAGTCTCTCTTTCTCGGAAATTTCTTGCAAAAACCCAAGATCTTTCTTCCTGTGTGAACGATGCAAGAGTTTCTCAAGCGATGATCAGTAAAAGAACTTCTTTAATTGCTAATTTTTTAAAGCTAATGTTTATTCATCCCTAAACAATGTGCTTAAACATTAAGAGTGTTTTACTAACAAGGAAAATTTTAATAAAAAGAAAAAGATGTACATCTTGAATAACATGGATAGCGCTTCGTCAAAATGTAGACTTGGTTTTATTTCTTGGCCTATTTCTTTAATGAGACGTTCAAATGGTGGTTGAGAAATGCAATTTTTGCAACCTACGAATGATAACTAAAAGAATTAATTCAATAATTTAAATTATACAGTATTATCTTGAATCGCTTGTTTCTTCTTCCATAACAAAAATGCTTGCATCATTATCGCCATTTTTTCTTTTGTGTGAACTTTTAGGTGAGTCAGTATCTAATTGCGTCAAGTCATCATCTGATGCAGTTGTAATTCCTTCTGATTAAACTTGATTTGGATTGCCCTCCTCTTCTAAAACATTATGCTTAATAAATATTGTATGTCATCGATCGATCGATCGATCGAAAATTTTCTTTTCGGATATTTTCAACATATATAAATAGCCTCTTATTTATTTACCCAATGTCATCGTCGTAATGTTATGTTTTTATTATAGTAATAGTAAAAAATGCAATAAAAAATTTAAATAAACAAATAGACAGTTTGGGCCGACAGATCACCGCCTTTTCTTTTCATGTAGGTGGCTGTTTTAAAGAAAATTACAGTAAATTGTCGCAAAGACATCCACGACATTCTAATCTAATATAATATGATTTTATTATCTATTGTTATCAACATTTCTGTTAATATTGTCACTATTATCACCATTGTTATTATTATTATTATAATTATTAATATTGTTGTTTTTATTATGGTTACTTTTATTTCTTTTCATACGTTTTTTTAATACCAAAACGTATTTTCTGTGCTAATAACCTCCTGAAAACGTGATAGTGAATAGACCTGTCGCTCGCTAATAGATTTTGGGATTTGTCACGTGCACAACGTGCCATGTACTACAAGTTAAAGCCTTATATTTTTACAGTACAGACGAAAGCTCAATTGCTTAATTAGTCAATTAATCAGATTTATTAAAATTCGAGATTCAACAAACAAAAACTAATAAACCCTTCACTCAAAATCAAAATCTAAATATCCAGCATAATAATTCAAGTTTCAGATCCATTAATTAAGGATTTATTATTAATTTCACTCTTTAATAGTTATTTCAATAGTTTCAGACTCTGATTTGTTCCAAAGCCTCATGCTTCAATTACCCTTATTATCATTATTATCCCTAGTACCAATGCCAAAGGAGGAAGACAATTCAACGATGCGATTACATGCGCTGTTATATGAATTTGTAGTAATTGAATTGAATTTCATGGTTCTAGGACATACCAAATTCAAATGTGATGGTAGCCTTGGATTGATTAAGGAATTATATCGAAAGACATAGGAAAGGTGTAGATTATTTAAAAGATCTAGTATTGCTGGAATATTCTTGAGGCTGGAGATGTATTATTCAGAAAAATCAGAAATTTCTACTATCATAAAAGATATTAAAGCTTTATCATTTCAAACATTTGACACCAACTCTTATGAACAATAATACCTTTTGTAATAATATTCGCTAATAAAAAACGGTTTGATCATAATCGCAGTTAATGTGGCGTAAAAAAATACTGCGGTGTATAAAAAAAATTTTTTTTAAGTTGTGAAACGACTGATTTTTTATATTGATAAAAATTTTTTAGAATATTAAATAAATTAGAGCAGGGAAAAATTGTTCTAATAATAAAGACGACCTTTAATAATAACAATATTATCACTATAAATATAAATTGTTTCAAGTTCCTTCTCCGTTTATTGTTATTTTATTGATTTAATTAAAAAGACGTCTCAAAATGGTAAAAATTATATTTATACTTTTTATATTTGTATTAAAAAAAATTTTTTTTTTTTAAAGAGGCAAATTTTTCTGAAAAATTTTTGTACTAATATTTAATATTCTGATTCTTTAATAAATGTTAGGTAAACTTTACCGTTGATCAAATTCGTGAGCTTGTAAGTATATTGTTAAAGGAAAAAATTTTTAAGCATTTAAGCATTTGTCAAAAAAGAATATTCCTATATTTAAATATATTGTATATTATATAAATGTATATATAGATGAACCATGTTGCCAATGTACGTAACATGTCAGTTATTGCACATGTAGACCATGGAAAATCCACCTTAACAGATTCTTTAGTATCAAAGGCTGGTATTATTTCTTCGGCAAAAGCTGGTGAAGCAAGATTTACTGACACCAGAGCAGATGAGCAGGAACGTTGCATCACCATTAAATCTACTGCCATCTCAATGTACTTTGAATTAGCAAAAGATTCTCTTTCTGACATCAAACAAAAAACAGACGGTATATAAATTTAATTAATAATAATCATTATTAGAAATAATGTTTTAATAATTTTATTAAAAAAATACTTTTATAATATATTTTAATCATAATAATCATAATAATCATAATAATCATAATAATCATAATAATCATAATAATCATAATCATCATAATCATAATTCATTTATAATATATAGGTAATGAATTCTTGATTAATTTGATCGATTCCCCCGGGCATGTTGACTTTTCATCTGAGGTTACTGCTGCTCTACGTGTTACTGATGGTGCTTTAGTGGTGGTGGATTGTGTTGAAGGTGTTTGCGTACAAACTGAAACTGTATTACGTCAAGCTCTTGCTGAGCGTATTAAACCTGTGGTAATTATTAATAAGGTAGATCGTGCCTTATTAGAGTTACAACTTACAAAAGAAGATTTATATACAGTAAGTTATTTTATTAAATAAAAAAAGATTATTTGCTTTTTTTTATTTTTATTTTTATTTTTATTTTTTTGTACTTGACATTTTTATATTCACATATTTTTATGTTTATAATTCCGTTGTTTTTAGTCTTTTCAACGTACAATAGAATCAGTGAATGTCATTATTTCAACGTATTACGATAAAGCTCTTGGTGAAATCCAAGTATATCCTGAGAAGGGTACTGTCGCTTTTGGTTCCGGTCTTCATGGTTGGGGATTCACCCTTCGTCAATTTGCTGAGCGTTACTCAAAGAAATTCGGTGTTGATAAAGAAAAAATGATGCAAAAGCTTTGGGGTGAAAACTTTTTTAATCCTGCCACAAAAAAATGGACCACTAAAGGTAATACTCCCGAGGGAAAACAGCTTGAACGTGCTTTCTGTATGTTTGTATTGGATCCTATATTTAAATTGTTTGATGCCATCATGAACTTCAAAAAAGAAGAGACAACCAAAATGTTGGAAAAATTGGAAATTGCCTTAAAAGTTGAAGAAAAAGAATTAGAAGGAAAAGCACTTTTAAAAATTGTAATGAGAAAATTCTTACCTGCATCAGATGCTTTACTGGAAATGATAGTAATTCACTTGCCATCACCTGTAACTGCTCAAAAATATCGTGCTGAAATGTTGTACGAAGGTCCTAGTGACGACGAGTGCGCTATGGGAATAAAAGAATGTGATCCTAATGCACCTCTAATGTTGTACGTGTCTAAAATGGTACCTACCTCTGATAAAGGTCGTTTCTATGCTTTTGGTCGTGTGTTTTCTGGTACCGTAAAATCTGGACTCAAAGTTCGTATCCAAGGTCCTAATTACGTACCTGGAAAAAAGGAAGACTTATTTTTAAAATCAATTCAACGTACAATTCTTATGATGGGTCGTTATGTCGAACCAATTGAAGATTGTCCAGCTGGTAACATAGTCGGTTTAGTTGGTGTAGATCAATATTTACTTAAATCAGGTACCATCAGCACATCAGAAATTGCTCACAACTTAAAGGTTATGAAATTTTCTGTGTCGCCTGTCGTCAAAGTAGCCGTTGAAGTAAAAAATGCAAATGATTTACCTAAATTGGTCGAAGGCTTAAAACGTCTTTCAAAGTCAGATCCCTGTGTTCAATGTTATACAGCTGATACTGGTGAACACATTATTGCTGGTGCTGGTGAATTACATTTAGAAATTTGCTTAAAAGATTTGGAAGAAGATCATGCTCAGGTTCCAATCAAAACTGGTGATCCCGTTGTATCATACAGAGAAACAGTACAAACTGAATCATCAATAACTGCTTTATCAAAATCACCAAATAAACACAATCGTCTATATGTGAAAGCTTTCCCTATGCAAGAAGAGCTCTCCAATGATATTGAAAGTGGGAAAATAACACCACGTGATGATTTCAAAGCACGTGCACGTGTCCTTGCTGAAGAATATGGTTGGGATGTTACTGATGCTCGTAAGATTTGGTGCTTTGGTCCCGAAACAACTGGTCCTAATTTATTAGTTGATGTAACAAAGGGAGTACAATACCTTAGTGAAATCAAGGATTCATGTATTGCTGCGTTCCAATGGGCAACAAAAGAAGGTGTTTGTTCAGAGGAAAATATGAGATCATGTCGTTTCAATATACTTGATGTTGTGCTACATGCTGATGCCATTCATCGTGGTGGTGGTCAAATTATTCCAACTTGTCGTCGTGTCCTCTATGCTGCTGTTTTAACAGCTACTCCCGGTATTATGGAGCCTGTTTTCCTTGTCGAAATTCAATGTCCAGAAGGTGCAATGGGTGGTATCTATGGTGTATTAAATAGAAGACGTGGTCATGTCTTTGCTGAAGAACAACGTCCTGGTACTCCATTATATAATGTCAAAGCATATTTACCAGTAAGTTATCTTATTACTAGTGAATATTTAATTGCTGGATGTATGCATATATATATATATATATATATATAATATTTTTCATAATTGTAATAATAATTTTTTTGTTTTTATATAGGTAAATGAATCATTTGGTTTTACTGCAGATTTACGTTCAAACACTGGTGGACAGGCTTTCCCACAAGCTGTATTTTCACATTGGTACGTATTTTTTGAAAAATTTATTGCGCTGTGATTTTATTTAACAATATGATAATTATTCTAAATTTTTTTTTTTAAAAAAATAGGCAACTTATGAATGGAACACCTTTAGAACCAGGAAAAATAGCTGATATTGTTAAAACCATAAGGAAAAGAAAAGGTCTTTCTGAAGAAATTCCAAGTTTAGATAAATACTTGGACAAATTGTAAAACATTATTATTCAGCATTATATCACTTGGACGAATAACTCTTGAACAAAAAAAAAAATAGTATATATTTATAAAATAATTTCCAGAAAAAAAAATTTGTATTTTAAATTAATTTTTATAATTTTTAAAATTTTACATTAAAAAAAAAAAATAAAGGAATTAATTTAATTATAGTGTGCACGTGTTCAAATTAATTTATCATTGTCACAAATTTCAGGGAATGAGCAATTACAACTTGATGTTGTGTTAATTGCTCTCAATGTTAACGATATTCTTTCATCCCTTTCTCTAATTAATCCATTATCCAGTAAATCACTTTTTCTTGCTCTATTATTAAAAATAAAAACTTTAATGAAAAAAAAAGAAGCTTCTTTTTCTTGCTAATAAAATAAAATCGAATCACCACCTTATAGTATGACTCCACAAATATCTTGCATCATCTTGAAGTATAGCTAACGATCTTTTTGGTAAATCAACGTTAACAACTTCACCAGTTTTAAAATTTTTAAATTCCATGATAATAGAACTTCCCAAACTAAATGACAAAATTGTATCACCAAATGATGAGTGACTATCAACATGAGGTGGGATTCCTGTGCCAACAGGATAAATTTGAATTGTTAATTGTTGCATATCTGGTATTGTTAATGAAGGATACAAATTTTTTAATTTCTCCAGTAGTGATTTAATGTAATATGGAAACTTTAAATTTAATTCATCAACTTTGTTTGTGTCATAATTAAATTTATAACCATAGTGTGACTATATTCACATATAAATATGGTGTGTGTGGTGTGAATGAATAAACATATATATATATGAATTAATTAATTAATTGACTAATTGACAATAATTAATGAATTTGCTAAAAAAAATTTTTTAAAGAAGAGACATATTATCACTTTACCACAAAACGATTTTGAATTTGAATCCAAGTGTCAATTGAATTTACGTGATTTATTATAATTTTTTCTAAATCAAACGAGATAAATTCCTCTAACAATATTAATCCCGGTATTTTCTCATGATTCTTATTTTTATTGTGATTAATTTGATTAATGAAATTTTGATATGATAAATTAACGAATTCAATAAATATTATTTTCCCTTTTAAAATTTCACATTGTTTATCATGAAGTGATTCTCGTGCATGAAATGCATCTAAAGCTGTTTGAAAAATAACAAAAGAATATGGCTACATCATGTTATTGATTGATTGATTGATTGATTAATTAATTATTGATTTATTTAGAAATGAGTAATAATAACCTTTGCTCAACTGCTTCAAAAAAAAAATCATAATACCTTTCCATGAGTTAAGTTTACTCCAACCCAACCTTCATATTTTTCAAAAAGTTTTGTCAACTGTTCAGAAGTAACTCCACCAACTCCACCATAACAAACATTCACCAAACATAAATATTTTGTAGCCTCGCTTGAAAACAAATTAATACAAGAAGATTTCTCAAACTTTTCTATAATCTCATAAGCTTGAATTCTTTTTGCTTCTTTTTTTCTATAATGTCTTTGTTCTGTACGTGTTAATAAGCTGGCTGCTTTATCAGAAGACATGTGTTTAATGTTACTCAAAGCTGCGTCAAATATAAAATATAAAATATCCATCATACACGATTATCCTTGACCTATTTTTCTTTATTGAATCGGTAACGATCATCTAGAGTAATAATAACAATAGCATTGTAGGTAATGAAAATCAGGATTAGCTTTGAATAGCATATTTTTTTGTTTTAGAAATTCTATATTGGTACCGATCTTGAAAATAAGAGGACAGAGAAAAAAAATAATAAAATAAAAGATTTAGAAAACAATTATGAAAATGAACAAGTGGAAAAAAGATAATTGAAAGAGCAACTAAAATATTTAAATAAGAATAAGGAAATATCCACTAATGTGAAAATGGTTAAATTAAATAAGAAAAAGCCCAGCTAAGGTCAAAGTGAAACAAATTGAAATAACGCTTGGAGAGAAAAACAAATTTATATTCTTTGATTGCTTCTCTGTTTCTATAATGAACTACCGGTATCACAATTTTGTACACTTTATATAATGCTCTTTGTATTTTTTTATTTTATTATTTCATAGTTAAATACGTAATCTTACAAATATATATTAATATTTATAAAAATAAATATTTTTGTTTATACAGAAACAGTTTTAAATATATTAAATCCTGAAGCAGCTGTTGATATCATACAACCAGAAATTTGTGAATGCCAATGTAATTCCTTGATGTCATTTTGTCCCTGTTATATATTATTACAAAGAACAAAAATATAAGTTGTTGTTAATATTATTGTATTAATACTAATACTAATAATAATAATAATAATAATAATAATAATAATAATAATAATAATAATAATAATAATAATAATAATAATAATAATAACAACAATAATAATAATAACAACAATAATAATAATAGCATCAACGACACTTATACCAATGGTATTAATGGTACTTATACTAGCAATGGTATTGATCTTGACATAAATAAAATAACATCCACATCATCACCCCTATCATCACCTTCATCATCGTCTTTGTCATCACCTTCATCGTCATCTATATTGTCATCGTCATCATCTTCATCTTCTACTACTACCACCACCTCTGACTTAACATCATCTGACCATCTAATCTCACAAATAAATCTAAATGACGCCAAAGAAATACTTCGTGAACACTTAAAGAATCAAGAGAAGCAATTGTTTACCAGCTTTAAAACAGTTGAATTATGGAAAGAATATTTTGAGAAAAGCAAGGAAAGATATGAAAGTGAAATTAAGATACGAGATGAGGAGATTAAAAGAAGTCATCAAGAAATTGATGGTCTAAAGAAAACTATAAATAAATTGGAAGCAGAAAATAATAGTTTAAAAGGTCATAACACAACCGGTATATACAATTAATTATAAAGAAAAAAAATAACACTTATTCTGATTATATCGTTTATTTTTTGAAATTATAAAATTTAAAAATTTTTTTTTTTTGTAATGAAATTTTGGTAGTATCAATTAATTAAATAAATTAATATTTACTCACTATGTATATGGGGCACGCTGCAATAAAACCAGACAAATCGAACTTTTTATTGGGTGTTGTAGATCAAAAAAAAACGGAAATGTAAAAAAAAAAGATTTTCATTTTTATTATTATTATTATTATTGATACAGTGCGGATCATCTATACTCAAAAGTTAAAAAAAATTGGTTAATTAAAAGGAATTTCGCGCCCAAACACCCATATTTGTTTGATTGGCCAATTTCAAATCAAAAAAAAAAATTGTCTTGTGCATTAATTATAGTTACTTTTTTAATAACGTTAGTCCTTTAAATCCAATGAATTATCATTCATGTACAGTCGAACCCTCGTTTCAACGGATTTTTGTTTCAACGGATTTTTGGTTTTACCCCTTGATTTTATTAATTAAATATAAAAAATTCTCGTTTCAACGGATTTTATATTTAAATCGCGTTTCAACGGACAACGGATTTTTTGGTAGTATTTTAGTAATAGTAACAAGTACTAATCGCGTTACAACGGATTCACGTGATATAGATTTTATAAAAAAAAAACACTATGTTAAGATTAATTCATTGCTAAATAATAATATGAATAATTCTCACATTACTATTATAATTACTAAATAATAATATTAATCATATTTCTAAATAATGATTTTGCTCCACCACGTAAATCAAAACTTGTGGTTTCATGCACTAATAATTCTTCAAATAAAATTATTTATTTTTTATCCAAAATGTAACCTTAATCTTGTTTTAATTAAAGATTCAAGTCTCTTCTAAATGTATAAAATAAAGGCAAAATTTTCTTTATTGATTTTTTTAAAATTGATAAAAAATAAATATCTTCTAATACTACATAATTAATGGTTTCTTTAATTTCTTTAAATTCTACAAAATTATAAATGTCTCTTCCACAAAATGTATAAATATTACTGTTGAGTTATGTTTGTTGAAACGAACCAATCTCGACCAAAGGATATTGAATTAGCACAAACCAAGTTGGTGATATATTGAAAGAGTGTAATAGATGTACCCAAATTCTCATTTTAAAAAAGCATATACTTCTCCTGTTACTAAATGTTGAAGATGCTTTAATTTTATGATCCAGAAAGCACGTGAATGTAATGTAACGATTACAGGTAGCGTTATTCAATAAAATTTGCAGAATTATTAGACAACAATACCTTTGAAGCATTGTCTGCTTGGTTTGATAAATTCAAGTAGAAAAAGAATAAACACGGGGAATCTAAAATGTACCTATCTAACAGATTCCTGGAACGAGAGAAGAATTGAAAGATATTCATAAAAATCGTAGAAATTTAATCGTAATGAGATAGATCTTTATTGGAAAATGAAACCAACTCATGGATTATCAACAGCCTCCATTCCAGGCTTAAAATCGAATTGTAGCACAAATGGTACTGAAAAGCTATTTCCTTTATTGGAACAGTAAAGCATGGATAAAATGCGCACTGCATATAAGAAAATATCAATATTATTACATATTTTAACGGATAATTCAACAAATGTAAAAATTCATCACTTGCCTCTAAACATAATCGCGCACCTGCAACCATGCAATATCATTGTTTTTTAGGGCATGTATTAAATTATTTAATTGATATTA